GTTACTCATCAAACTATGATAACAACCTGAGTTAACAGATCTTAGCTCTTGGATTGGACAAATGGCTTGTATTGCTTTTGATGCCAAATTCTGCAAAAGTGGCCATCAGGAGAATTTTGTTGTCATATGTAGGTACATAGATGGGCAAGATATACATCCAACACATGGAAACTTTGAAAAATTAGAAATTAGAACCAGTACATTTAGAAGTCCATGTATTTCAACTGAGTTTCCAGCAATTACGACATGAACTCTGTGCTGCAATATCTGTGTTGCTGCTTAATCGGAAAAAAAAAAAAAAAATGTACCCAGTCAACAAAAAGGGTCACATGTCACAATGAGCAGTACAGGCTCGATCAAATAGAAAGGAAAATATTCAAAAACCTTTTCATCTCCCAGATGTCCGTTATATGATCAACAAGAAGCTGAAACTGAAGGGATTAGGTGCTGCTGCCAATACTCAACCCTGACACAAGAACAACATACTTGTCTTCTCCTGTGCATGTCAACATCAACCACTTTGAACACAGATGAGCCAGGTCTATAGACTTAACTTAAGTAATTTCAAATAAGATACTATAAAAGAAACAAAAAAAGGGGTCTGCACAAGCCAAATTTTAAATCACATTTTCAGTAACTTCGTAAGTTAATATGATAAAAAATGATAAGGTCCAAACCCTTTCAAACTAAACAATAAGCAAGAAAATTTTAATGACTAACAGAAACTGAGCAACAAAAGACTTAGAAGAATAGTTTCAAAATTTCATAAAACATCAGACCATCCTGCTGGACCTTATAATGAAAAAAGTTGGGTCACTTCTTATTGGTTAGCAGGTTCAATATATAACTAATAATTGATGAATTTCTGGATGGAAAAACATTCAGAGAAGAATGTCTGTAACAACAAAGAGTGCCCAATTATATTTTACTGCAGGGTAGAAACATCGGAATAACAAGCATAAATAGTCGCAAACATACTGATTTAAGTGGTAACTCTATCTGGGGTCTAGGCCAGCTTCTAAGATCTCTAGGACCAGAAATCACCAGCACCAGTTTCCTTTCCATGTAAAGCAGCACAAGGCCTATCAAATGTATCATGTGAACGCATACCAGCCATCATTCATAGAGATAACATTCATATATCATTCAGTTAAAAAATTATTTATAAAAAACAAGATTAAAAATAATTTACAAAAGTTGCCCACAACTCCAACCAGCACACTCCATCCACACCAAACCTAATCCTGGTTGGATGCATCTGCCTATCCCGTACAGTCTTGTAAGATGATAACAGCAACAGGTCATGCCCTAGATAAGAAATACTTAGACATTACTTTCAAAACTCATTTTTAGACTCAGATGAGTACTTCCAATGCTAAAAAAATTCAAAAGGAGGATGCTAAATAATTCATAACCTCTCAAAAATAATGAACCTGACCTCATTTGCAATCAGTCAACTAGGATCACCTAATTCAAGACAAACCACAATCTCTTATCACAACAATTTCACTTCATATGAAAAACTGCTCATTACACAGCCCTGTTACATATGCTGAAGGCAAAAGCATAGTCCCACGAGTTACCCCACTCTCATCTTCCAAAACAGATATCATCGGGATGCATAAAATTATGAGGCTTAACAAGTGAGGTTGCAGATCTCTATAATTTCAAAAATACTCACAAAAGTTGGAAACAACGAAAGAAATAAAAATGAAACCCATTTGTTATCAGTCATGATACCTCCTTCGAGTACTCGTCAAGAATCAATGTGTTGAGTTCATATGCTTGTAAAGGGTCCCAACATGATGCATTCCTTGCCTCCTTCCAGTTCTAATACTGTACAAACTGAACACAGGTAACCTAGAAAATACATCTTTTCCATTCTCAATCAAAACCCATCAGATACCACCATAATCAAAATTAGTAAATTTTATCAATTAAACCCCTGAATGCCAAGCTTTCAAAGGCACCACAGTCAACAAAATCCCTCTTTCAAAAACACAATACAAACAAAGAAATAGGATTAACCAAAGCCATAGTCCAAAGTCATCATCTCAACATAAAGATCTATGTCACTTTGCATTCATATTAAATTCAGGTGTCACATTAAACTCATATCAACATCTGAAGTCTAAATTACCCAAATTAATCACACAATACTGTATGATAAACCCATACAACCTCAGTACTAGAAACCCTAAAACCTAACTACTCAAAATCACTGAAAATACACTATCCTTTAATAACAGAGATTGCAAACAAGTATAAGTACATCCCCACATAAAATAAAAACCCAAAGCAACAATCAACCACAACAAGTACCAACTTAAACTAATCCAACTGAACCGAAACAACTGAACATGACTAAACTAAATAACAAACTATATAAAAAAAAAAAACTGCCAACCCAGATGCCTAATCTTCCAAAAACTAACAACAGCATCAATAACAACTAAATGTATACTCAAAAGTACAACTTAAATAAAACCCTCCTGAATTGGAGTACATATATACATAATTTAAACTAAAATGCAAAAAACCCAGATTCCAAATCTTATAAAATGCTAAAAAAAAAAAAAAATAACAGAAACTAATCACACTCAAAAAGTTAAACTTAAACCCCCTAAATTAGTGTGCAAAAAACCATATTTAAACTAATAAACAAAAAAAACCCACAAAACCCCAGATGCAAATCTTACAAAAAGCTAAAAGCAAGCGTTAACTCAACAAATTATGAGAAAAATATACAGTTTACAGAGCAAGAAACAAATGTACCTGGCAAACTGGGTTTCCAATTGGGAACAAGAGAGTAAAGTAGAGTTCTCATCAATTGCAACGAGCAAGTAAATTTGGCTGTATTGCTGGCCCTATACGTCCTTTTCGTATTTCAAACGTCTCATCCTGAGAACGAAAACCAAAAAAAAAAAAAAAAAAAAAAAAAAAGAGCCCGAAACAAAAAAAACAAAAACAATTAAGTTGTTAGAGAAAATAGTAGAGAGAAGCACCAGAGAGGATAAGTAGACTGCTTTCTTGTAGAAGAGCTTCTTCTCCATCGATTCCCATGGCTTCTGTGGCTGGCGGAAAATTAAAAGATGTGGTCGTGACTTGTGTTATTTGCTCCTTCCTCGCTGCTTGACAAAAACAACCTCGTGCCTGAACTTGACTAACCTTCTCAATGGTTCCCAGAAGCGACTTATTCTTGAAATCTCTACCTCTGAGCACCGGAGACCTCCCAATCCCGAGCTGGCGGAGCAACGCGGACCGTCTCGTGGCAGCCGGAGGAAGCAGCCATTTCCTCTCCACTAAACTTCCATTACCATTAAAGTTCTCACAGAACTCACTTTCTCTTCTTCCTCCGCCTCGCTTTCGCCTTTTTGACAACCTCACGAGCTCCTTCTTCGCCTTGCCTTCATCCCCCACTTCAGCAAACTTCCTCAGCAACTCATCCGATGATTTTTTCGTCACATGTTGAACTTTGTTAGCAGCAAGAGGAGGAGAAGAAGCAGTAGCAGAGACAGTAGAAGTAGAAGAATCCATTTTGGTTCAGAGATTGAATGAGATTGAACAAGAGGGTGAGAGGAGAAATTTGGAAGATGAATTTATGTAAGAGTTTGAGTTGTTGGGTAGTGAAGAATGGACCGTTGGGGAGGGAAGAGTTGAATTATTAATTTAAATTATGGAACACAGAAATATAGCCGTTAAGGAAATCATGGAGGTAACAGGGGTTCGAGCAGGCGTGAGAATGTAAGAATATAAAAGTTGGCATGTGAGTTAATGAATGGGAGGCTCCCCCATGTTGGTGCTGACAGAGTGTTGGCCAAAATTTTGGATCTCGTTAAGGATTTAGTCTATTAGATTTTGTTTTTAAGCTTAATAGTTAATACAAAGGGATTATGAGTTAGCATCCAATGTATATAAAAATATGCAATAAGAATGTGCCATGTCAACACGCGTTCTCATTAGCGGGTTGTGCTTCAATAGCACAAAAATCCTTTCTTAAGGCATCGAGATAATAGGGTTTAATTTCAATTGGGTTTTTTACTGTTTTAAAACCTAACCTGGATCGGTCGGTTTAACCAGTTTAACCAGGACTCAGAAGCTTCACTAGGCCAGGTAACCCTAGAATTTAAGATGATGATCGACAAATAATTGAAGGTCGGGATGTTAGGGTTTTTGAAGAGAAAGTGACAGTGAGTGCAATGGTGACAATGTTTCCAGTGAGTGAATCGACCGGAAATCGAAAAAAATTTACCGTTGCAACACCCGGCTTTTGCTGGCAATTGGCAAGGCTAAAGAGAGTAGGGTGAGATAGGTTTTGGTCAGGAGGAAGAGGGGATTATTTTCGGGGTGATGGGAAAGGTGTCGGTGAGATCTAGCCTGGAATGTGGACGCCAACATTGGTGAGATCTAGCCAAAATTGAATCGATTTCGACCAGATCTTAGGTAGATTTTCTAGGGAATGGGCTCAAAGGACGATTAGGATTGCACTTGGAGTGTCGTCACAGCCAACCAGTCACCGACTGATTTGTATTTAAGGTGTGTTTGCTAAATTTCAAACGTATAGGGACTTAAATGATTTTGAGGGTATATTTGCTGAATTTTAAAAGTTTTGTCACCCAATTTGACTGCCGGTCAAACCGATCAACCCGGGACCCAACAACTTTGTTGGGTTTCACTCCAAGTTGGTTATTAAAACATTGAGGTTTTTGTTTCAAGCTTAGGGCATGAAATTGATGTACTTATTTGTAAAAGCCTAACATTTGTTTTTTGGTCCGCCACTGCTTACATGGTCCAGTCAAGTCCAGGACCATGATTCAAGAGTCCATGTGACTATGTGAGGGGTAAGTCAGAACTGGTACAATTTAAGAAGAATGTGACCTTGCACCTGAGTTAAGCATTTACGGGCATTGTTAATGTTATCTAACAAGGCAGGTTGGTTACCGTACCTCAGTTCTTCATTCATTTCCTACAGAGTTCTGAGATAGAGAAAATCAAAGAACTTGAAAAACAAATATAAGGTTGACATTTTGCCATCAATTATCTGAGCCTTAGCATAGGTAACACTCTTACAGAAGTATCCCAGAATTCTCAAGCTAAATAACATAAAGATCTAATTTTACTAATTGATAAGAAATCTACAAGCAAACATTACATTATGCCTCTGAATTTGGTTCATTCGCCTTCATGTTAAACGGAATGTCCTCCTGTGTATGGTTCGCCGATTCAATAAAACTTGTGACTCAAAGTGAAGGCGTATCAAAATTCTCGCACCTGAAATTTGGGTGATATCAAGAGAAGTGATCATTTAGACAGCGATGGATCTGCTCTCAGGGCAAGTAATATTGGATACAGGTTAAAATCATAACACTATCAACATTTACAGAGTACCTAACGGTCTACACTAAGACTTTGACCTTTGAATAAGAATCATCTAAATGGGTTTAAGTTGAATCTCAAGATGGCTTTAAAATGGAAACACGGCAACACAAGAAAGTTGGTAAAGTTAATATTTCAGCATTCTGTGGTCCTGAATCATTTAATACAATCCTTGCTGATTCGGCGAGAACTAACAGCATTTTGATGTTGTCAACCTAATGTAACTCTCTTCTTCCCGGGTATTTTAAACCAAATCTGATAGGCTTTGTTTATTTCTTAGGGATAATACTTACAATATCTCAACCTTTGTTTTTGATAATCCAGAAAATCGTCCCAACTTGCTTAGTGAACTAATGTTTCAAACTAAGACTAACAGAAAATTACAGATGAAAATTTTGCCATCCACACCATTAATAGAAAGTTAAATTACATACCATGTCACTATGAACTGAATTGAGTCCCAAAACTCAGAGTGTGACATTCGAGATTTCGCAGATTAACCTGAGAAATGACAGGACAATAAATTTATGTATTTAAGGTGAATATTTAAAAATAAAAAAGTCTAATCACATATGAGAACAGTAAATGACTGGACCCTATAATTTCCGAAGAGTAATAGAAAACTACAAATAACCACTTCTTTTCCCATGTCAAAAAAGGCAAAACTGAATTAATTACTTTTCTAGGGCATTGATATTTTTTTTTTTTTTTTTGTTAATCCAGTAATTGTCTCTCACACGACTCAAACACAAAACCTCTATGTATATCTAACCCCAATTGGTAAAGAGCTTGTCATCCAACCACAAGGGGAGAGGTGGCATTGATATTTTTTAACATTAAGCATACAAAAGAAAAGGCCAAAAATGCAGAAAAAGGCAGAAAAAGGAAATATTGAACTTGAATATTCAGAACCAGTTTATCAATAATTTTATCAATTGTCTAAAATGCATCATATCAATTTTGCATAGAATCTTCCTACAGCTATGAAGCTCTTCGATGAGTAGACTCTACAGCTAATGCATAAAATCTCAGGCATTTATGATATGAAATATGCACATCCACATGCAGACACAGACAATTTAACATACTAGAGATGATAGAAAAGCTTACCACCACAGCTATTCCAGTTTTGCTGAATTTAGGTATAGAAACGAGTCTTACCAATTGCCCTTCTGATCCTACACATAAGTAACCACTGAATCAACTTACTGGAAAAATATCAAAATAATTTTTTTCTAGAAAAGTAACAAGTATTTCAGCCAATTGTAAATGAGAGTATGAGAAAGTACCCTTGAGTAAGTGAGTATCATATTTATCCATATTACCAGCAAAGTAAACATGAGGACAGCTCTCAATCATGAATGGATCCCTATCAGTGAAAGGGTAACATCCTGAAAGATAATGATATCAATGGAAATTCAATCACAAGCTCATCAAAACTAAAATCATATCTCATTCAGGGATTTTTCTTTAAAAAATATACCTACTTATTGAAACCATCTTCTGTCCAGCATAGTAAATCTTCTAAGGAAATGTTTTGAATAAAGCAAGCAAATTTTACAATCAAAAGAACTCATGAAGCATATTTTAATTTTTACCAAGAGTATTAGGTGCCGTTGGTGCCAGATGCCTCCACTTCAATGTCCTTTCCATAAATTCAAGCTGATCCTTCGCCTCTGAGTATTTCTGAAGATCATCTATGTTCTGACCTGATGTTCCAAGAAATCTGGAAACAAGACACTGTCAGTATAGATCTAATTGTGAGATGCACTCACATATATTAATATGATGAAATCTTACCTAATATTGTCAAGCTCAAAGCAATGAGGATTAGTACACGACCTAAACGTGTTATATGCTGCAGACCCAGGGAAAAGGCATCTGTTCAAGGCCTGAAAGAAAAAGGATTTTAGAAGTAAAACAAAAAATAACCTTATTATTATGATGAAAAAACATGTTCAATGAGGACTAGTAAACCTGCTGAGGTAAAGAAAAGTTCGCTGGATCATTAACTCCAGGCATGATATCCAAAGGGACACCTGCAGCGATCTAAAAGCACATAAATAAGTAAATCAACCATGATGAGATGATCATTAGAAGCTAAGTTAAAGTTACTCATCAAACTATTGATAACAACCTGAGTTAACAGGATATCTAGCTCTTGGATTGGATCAGAATGGCTTGATTGATCTTTTGATGCCAAATTCTGCAAAAGTGGCCATCAAGGAGAATTTTGTTGTCATATGTAGGTACATAGATGGGCAAGATATACATCCAACACATGGAAACTTTGAAAAATTAGAAATTTAGAACCAGTACATTTAGAAGTCCATGAGGTATTTCAACTGAGTTTCCAGCAATTACGACATGAACTATCTGTGCTGCAATATCTTGTTGCTGCTTAATCGGAAAAAAAAAAAAAAAAATGTACCCAGTCAACAAAAAGGGTCACATGTCACAAATTGAGCAGTACAAGGGCTCGATCAAATAGAAAGGAAAATATTCAAAAACCTTTTCATCTCCCAGATGTCCTGTTATATGATCAACAAGAAGCTGAAACTGAAGGGGATTAGATGTGCTGCTGCCAATACTCAACCCTGACACAAGAACAACATACTTGTCTTCTCCTGTGCATGTCAACATCAACCACTTTGAGACAACAGATGAATACAGATGAGCCAGGTCTATAGACTTAACTTAAGTAATTTCAAATAAGATACATAAAAAAAGAAACAAAAAAAGGGGTCTGGCACAAGCCAAATTTTAAATCAACATTTTCAGGTAACTTCGTAAGTTAATATGATAAAAAATGATGAGGTCCAAACCCTTTCTAACTAAACAATAAGCAAGAAAATTTTTAATGACTATACAGAAACTGAGCAACAAAAGACTTAAGAAGAATAGTTTCAAAATTTCATAAAACATCAGACCATCCTGATGGACCTTATAATGAAAAAAGTTGGGTCACTTCTTATTGGTTAGCAGGTTCAATATATAACTAATAAATATGATGAATTTCTGGATTGGAAAACATTCAGAGAAGAATGTCTGTAAACAACAAAGAAGTGCCCAATTATACATTTTACTGCAGGGTAGAAACATCAGGAATAACAAGCGGATAGAAATAGTCGCAAACATACTTGATTTAAGTGGTAACTCTATCTGGGGTGCTAGGCCAGCTTCTAAGATCTCTAGGACCAAGAAATCACCAGCACCAGTTTCCTTTCCATGTAAAGCGACAACAAGGCCTATCAAATGTATCATGTGAACGCAATACCAGCCATCATTCATAGAGATAACATTCATATATCATTCAGTTAAAAAAATTATATTTATATAGAAAAACCAAGATTAAAAAATAAATGTTACAAAAGTTGCCCACACAACTCCAACCAGCACACTCCATCCACACCAGAACCTAATCCTGGGTTGGATGGCATCTGCCTATTCCGTACAGTCTTGTAGATAGATGATAACAGCATACAGGTCATTGCCCTAGATAGAAAATACTTAGACAATTACTTTTCCAAAACTCATTTTTAGACTCAGATGAGTAATTCCAATGCTAAAAATAATTCAAAAGGAGGGATGCTAAATAATTTCATAACCTCTCAAAAATAACTGAACCTGACCTCATTTGCAATCAGTCAACTAGGATCACCTAATTCAAGACAAACCACAATCTCATTATCACAACAATTTCATTCTTCATTATGAAAAACTGCTCATTACACAGACCTGTTACATATGCTGAAGGCAAAAGCATAGTCCCACTGAGTTTAACCCTTCCACTCTCATCTTCCAAAACTAGATGATCATCGGGATGCATAAAATTATGAGGCTTAACAAGTGGAGTTGCAGATCTCTATAAATTTCAAAATGAAAATCTCACAAAAGTTGGAAACAATGAAAGAAAATAAAAATGAAACCCATTTGTTATCAGTCATGATACCTCCTTCGAGTACTCGTCAAGAATCGAAGGTTTGAGTTTCATATGCTTGTAAAGGGTCCCAACAATGATGCATTCCTTGCCTCCTTCCAGTTCTAATACTGTACAAACTGAAACAGAGGTAAACCTAGAAAATAACAATCTTTTCCATTCTCAAATCAAAACCTCATCAGATTACCACCATAATCAAAATTTGTAAATTTTATTCAAATTAAACACTCTGAATGCCAATGCTTTCAAAGGCACCACAGTCAACAAAATAATCCCTCTTTCAAAAACACAATAATCAAACAAAGAAATAGGATTAACCAAAGCCATTAGTCACAAAGTCATCATCTCAAACATAAAGATCTATGTCACTTTGCATTCATATATAAATTCATGTGTCACATTAAACTCATATCAACATCTGGAAGTCTAAATTACCCAAATTAATCACACAATACATGTATGATAAACCCATACAACCTCAGTATCTAGAAACCCTAAAACCTAACTACTTCAAAATCAACTGAAAATTACACTATCCTTTAATTAAACAGAGATTAGCAAGACAAGTAAAAGTACATCCCCACATAAAATAAAAACCCAAAGCAACTAAATCAACACACAACAAGTAGCCAACTTAAACTTAATCCCAACTGAACCAGAAACAACTGAACATGATCTAAACTAAATAACAAACTATATAAAAAAAAAAAACTGCCGACACCCAGATGCCTAATCTTCCAAAAACTAACAAGCAGCATCAATAACAACTAAATGTATACTCAAAAAGTAAGCAACTTAAATTAAAACCCTCCTGAATTGGAGTACATATATACATAATTTAAACTAAAATGCAAAAAACCCAGATTCCAAATCTTATAAAATGCTAAAAAAAAAAAAAAATAACAGAAACTAAATCAACACTCAAAAAGTTAAACTTAAACCCTCCTAAATTAGTGTGCAAAAAACCATAATTTAAACTAATAAACAAAAAAAACCCACAAAACCCCAGATGCCAAATCTTACAAAAAGCTAAAAGCAAGCGTTAACTCAACAAATTATAAGAAAGATATACAGTTTACAGAGCAAGAAACAAAATATGTACCTGGCAAACTGGGTTTCCAATTGGGAACAAGAGAGTAAAGTAGAGTTCTCATCAAGTGCAAACGAGCAAAGTAAATTTGGCTGTATTGCTGGCCTCTATACGTCTCTTTTCGTATTTCAAACGTCTCATCCTGCGAACGAAAACCATAAAAAATCACCAAAAAAAAAAAAAAATTTGAGCCCAGACAACAAAAAACAAAAATAATTAAGTTGTTAAAATGAAAATTTTGAGTGAAGAGAGAAGCACCAGAGAGAGATAAGTAGACTGCTTTCTCTGTAGAAGAGCTTCTTCTCCATCGATTCCCATGGCTTCTGTGGCTGGCGGGAAAATTAGAAAGAGAGTGTGTCGTGACTTTGTGTTATTTGCTCCTTCCTCGATGGGCTTTTAACAAAATAATAATAATAATAATTTACTTATTTTAACAAAAAAAATTCTGAGGTTTAAGAAATAATAATTTATTTTTAAAGTTTATAAATTAAAAAATATTCTTATATTTTTAAGTGATAAATAAACAGTAAGAAGATAATTTGCTAATATTTAATAACTCGTAACATTATAAATTTTAATGATCCATTATCGACAGATGAATTTTTGTTATTAACTATTATACTTCAAAGGATTAATGTCATTAATTTTTTTTTAAAACGTGTTTAAAATTTCATTTTTAAAGTTAAAATAACCATAAGATTATTAAAAAAAAAAGTTAGTGTGTCAGAATTATACACTAGTTTTTAAAATTGTTTATAAAATTATATTTTACAAAATTGATATATTTACGAAGATATTATTGAAAAAATTTATAAAGAAAATGTTGTCTATGGTTTTTCCGCCAAGCTCGGGCTAACTCGAAGATATAGCTCGACCTAGATTGAGCTCGACAACTATGATTGATCGACCTAGCATAAGCTCGTCGAGTTGTAGCTCGACCCAGCATAAGCTAGTCGCGAACAATTTGAGAAATCATTCAATCAATCCTCATATTACTTCACATCCTAAATATTGTGGGAATGACTGGATCAACAGTTATTATTGCGCAATCACAACACCCAATTGTGAGGATATCAGAATTATGATTCGAATCAATTGTAATCCCCTTAATTTTGTTCTTCCTTTGTACAAATCAAGTATATAAACCTCTTCAGACAATGAGGAGGGGGTCATGAATTTTAGATACGTTGCATTGTAAGCTCTCAGAGCAAATACAAAAACACAGTGGACGTAGGCTGTTAACCTCGCCAAACCACTTTAAAAATCTATTTGTTTTTAGTTCGTTTCATTCATATTCATCGCTAATTATCACTAATCATGCGTACATCGGTTCCGATCTCGGCAAGGTCGATCAAATCTCACTAGTTGATGCAGAATTCTATACCAACATTTTGGCGCTAGAAGGAGGGCCTCCGCCAATATTTAAAGATTCTGGCAAACGTTCACCGCAATTTACCTGTTCCAGGACCAAAATAGTGTACACCAAATCAAAAACTACCACTGGAAATCACGAGAACGTGGAAACCACCCACCAGGAGATGCAACAGAAGAACGTTGGACGTTGACCACCTGTGCCACTAGCTCAACACATCGCAAACAACTAAGGACAGGGACGTCAGACCCTTAGAACAACCAACTGATGGAGATGATCAGGACAATGGTTGCACAGGCGATGCAACAGAACGTAGCTAAGTTGAGGAACCAACAACTAGTTGCCCAGAACCTCAACTAGCTGCACTTCGCCAACGCCACCCCAACAGGTATGAATTTTGCATGTTGACAGTCCGTTTCGTCGTTGCCAAAGGGCAATCAACACCTCCAACCTCACAGGCAACACTCCACACAAGAGCGTGAGTCCTGTGGGAAAGCAAACCTTGGGAGTCGGCCGAGGAAGCAACCATTGAGGGAAAGCGAAGGTGACAGATACCACTGAGAAGCTCGAACGGTATCCCCAACGTTAGCGTGTCAGTTTTAACCCATGCCCAAGGCAAGATCGATCTTCACAGGCTCGCGAAACGAGTCACGTGCGTCAATCTGGCAATGATCAATGTTTCGGTTATGACTGACATCTCGAGCAACGCACTAACGAGCATGATAGCACTTATCAACCCAGCAATCATGACTCGACCTCGTGCATCAACCCACACACCGAACGAGTTTCGCAAGCAATAGACTTGCAAACTCATTTGCTCGAGGTAAGGCTTAACAGAGCCATCCAAGGCAACCAAAATAAGGACTTAGATCACATGCAGAGGATGCTTAACGATCTAAGATTTCGCCAGAACAACCTAGCGGGGGAAGTAGTAAGTTCCCCTTTTACGGAGGAAGTTTGCCAAACCCTGCTCCCACAAGGGTTTAGGGCGTCGGAAAGCAAGTTCGACGGGAGAAGGGACCCTAGAGACCACCTCGCCAATTTCAATGACCTGAAGAAGCTACACCAGGTCAGTGACTTAGCGAAATGTCGGTGCTTTGCAATCACATTAGTCGAAGATGCCAAGAGGTGGTACAAAAGGCTCAAGGCAAACTCCATCAACTCTTGGTAACAATTCTCCTTACTGTACTTACAATAATTTCAGGCGAGGAGACAATTTGCAATGCCGCTTAGCTACTTAAGCAATATTTTCCAAGAGCGAAATAAATCACTGACCTCATATTTAACGAGGTTTCAGAACAAGCAGGCAAAAGTCGTTGACACCCCCAAAGAATCCATTCGAACTCTATTGATTGCAGGGATCAGACCTAACATGGAGTTATGGAAAGAGCTCCAGAATGAAGATCATGTGAGCCTGGCCAAATTCTACCAAATGGCCACGAAATACCAGCGAGTAGAGAGCTCGTTGGCAGTGCTAGCTAGAAGCTCAACGCAGGGGCCCCTGGACAGGAGACAAGATCGCCCCTTAGATAAGCGTAGGGGTCAAGATCGTAACGACAGGGATCACAACAAGTCCCAAAAGAAACAGAGAATAGATAATCCCTGTGACAGGCAAACTTTCCCGTGGTATGCAGAATACACCCCCTTCACTTAAGACATCGCCCATATCTATAAAGTGTCCTGAGAGGCGAAGAGACTGCCCGCTCCGGAGAGGATGAAGGGGGCTCCAAGTAGAAGAGATCGACAAAAATATTGTCACTACCACAGGTATGTCGAGCACAACACAAATGATTGTCGAGCCTTGAAAGACGCCATCGAAGACCTGATAAGAAGAGGCCACCAGAAAGAATTTGTTAAGGGATGTCAAGCATAATACGAATGATTGTCGAGCCCTAAAAGACGCCATCGAAGACTTGATAAGAAGAGGCCACCTGAAAGAATTTGTTAAGGCAAAACCGGCTCGTGAAAATCCTGGCTAGCAAAGTAGCCAAGCCCTAGGACAGGTTTAGGTTCTAGCTCAATCAAACCCTAACAAAGTCTTCATGATTATGATCTACGGAGGACGCGACATAGCGGGGAGCTCGAGACAAGCTCGCGACCAATATGCTCAGGAAGCGAGGACGGACTCGGTCCCCCGAATAATGAGCTGCGAGAGGAAGCCATCCAAGTGGCCTAAACAAGAAAGTGAGGTAGTGGGGTTCACAATTGATGAGTGCGAAAAATCCCCATGTCATAATCATGACGCGATTGTAATCGCGGCCAGGATGGGCAATGCAAGAGTGTTAAGGGTTATGGTTGACAACGGGAGCACGACAAATATCATTTTCTTAGAAGCCTTCTAAGGAATAGGATTCACATAAAGGAACCTGCAAGCGTGCCCTTCGCCGCTTTATGGGTTCACCTAGGACAGTCTAGTTCCCAAAGGTACTATTGACCTTCCCGTAACTCTGGGGGTAGAACCAAAGGTCAAAACAGTGATGGTCGAATTCTTAGTGGTGGACTCCTCGACCACGTACAACGTCATCCTTGGAAGGCCAATCCTAGATGATTTAAGCACAGTCACTTTGGTGCGCTGCCAAGCGATGAGATTTCTGACTTTCGGGGGAGTCACGGCGATCAAGAACTGCACCAAGGAATCTCGAGAATGCTATGATTGGGCTATAATCGCCGCATAGAAATGGTCGCACCCAAACACAATGATCATCACAGAATCCAAGCCGAACCCCGGACCGCTAGAGGACACTATATATCCTAGCATCCACAAAGAAGGGCCCACATCGGGACTGACTGAAGAGCTGCTAGAAATAAGTGTTAGCGAGGAAGATCCAACTCGCATGCTAAAAATTGGCAGCAGCTTGACCAGATAAATGGCTGATAATCTCGGCGGGTTCCTGAAGAGGAACCTAGACGTATTCGCATGGGTGCAATATGGTTGGGATCACCCCTGAGGTGATGTGCCCCAGGTTGAACCTCAACCCACAGGCTCAGCCTATAAGGTAGAAAAGAAAGGTTGTGGATGTAAAGCGCTCTCAAGCGCTTAAGGATGAGGTCGACAAATTCTTGGAAATCAACTTCATCAGGGAAATCAAGTACCTGAACTGGCTCGCTAACCCAGTCTTAGTTAAGAAGTCGAATGGCAAGTGGCGGACTTGCGTCGACTTCATGGATCTAAACAAAGCTTGTCCGAAAGATAGCTTTTCGCTACCACGGATCGACTAGCTAGTAGATGCAACAGCAGGAAACACACTACTTAGCTTTATGGATGCATACTCGGGATAACCAGATCCCGATGTACCAGCCCGATGAAGAACATACTTTTTTTATTACTGACCGTGGAATTTGTTGTTAAAGGGTTATGCCGTTTGGACTCAAGAATGCTGGGGCGACCTACCAACGCTTGGTGAACAAGATGTTTGCCAACCAAATCGGCCATTCCATGGAAGTATATATCAATAACATGCTCGTTAAATCGAAGGTTGTCGAAAACCACATTGAGCACCTGGGAGAAATGTTCGACATCCTCAGAAAGTATCAAATGAAGCTCAATCCGTTGAAATGTGCTTTCGGGGTGAGCTTCAAAAAATTCCTAGGCTTCTTTATGAACCAATGGGGTATAGAAGCTAACCCGGAGAAGATTTAGGCCTTGCTTGACATGAAAACCCCGACTGGCATAAAACAGGTACAAAGTCTGACTGAACGTGTGGCCGTGCTCAGCAAGTTCGTTTCCCGAGCCACAAACATGTGTTTACCATTCTTTGAGACCTTGAAAGGGAAGAAGGGTCTCAAATGGACAAAGGAGTGCGAAAGAGCCTTCCAGGAGCTAAAGAAACACCTCGGATAGCCTCCCCTACTATCAAAGCCTATCCACGGCGAGCCGCTACTACTATACTTGTCGGTATCAAAATTCGCTGTCAGCGCGGCGTTGGTACGCGAAGAGGGAGAAATACAATAGCCAGTGTACTATGTAAGCAAGAGACTGCTCGACGCGGAGACGAGGTACCCAGAGAT